GGAGTCCTGGCTCTAATAGAAACTAAAATCAAGTCCCCAATAATTTAAGGGTCCTCAATAACTTTTCTCATTTGAAGATATTATATAACTCACTTAAAAAAAGTAATATACCATGTCAAGTATTTTTTGAGGAAGCCAATTATGTTAAATAAATGTACTGAGATTTCATTAATAAAGCCCATACATAAAAGCATCATGTCCCCTCCCTACAAAAAACAAACAACTTCTTTTTGTTGTTAACATAAGACTTATTTTGAAAGCACTTGCCTTTAAATCAGAAATTGAGGGGATTTTTTCCTCCAGAAACATCTCACCAAGCTGTTCATCTGAATTGGCAACACATTCAATTAGCTCCTGCCGGTGGTCAGTGGCCGCCGCCCTTAATTCAGCTGGAATCTCACCATATCGAACAATCTGACTAAGAAAACAAGTATTTTGGTGCTTTAAGGATATTCAACTTGATATACGAAGGACTAATGAAAAAGATATGATTAAAACATTTTTTTAGGTAAGACAGAGCTCTGATACATTTGCATTCAAATGGCAAACAAGACTAATGCATACCTGTAAAATGCACACAGAATAATAGAAAAATATACTGTAACAGGCAAGTTTAAAGACAAGGTTGCACTACCAGTAACTGAAGAGCTAAAACAGTCCACTATCATAAGAAAAAAAATCTCTGGTTTTATAATAGACATCACATTCTACTTTTCTGCATATCAAGTTTTACAGAAGATAATGATAAAATATATAACACAAAATCTTCCCAATGTAATGCAACCTGGTTTTATCCTTACTCAATATACAGTAAAACACAAGTTCAAAACAATGACTTGACAAAGTATCAACTAAATCAAAGTTTAAACTCTTCAGTGTAGTTTTTACTGTATTCTAATTATTTTAAAACTGGCAAGCATGCAAAGTAATAACAGCATCCATTTACTGAATACTTATAATGCAGTAAGCACTAAACTAAATATCTGACAAGCTATTTATTTGATCTTCACATAAGAAGTAGCTTTTATTATCTGCATTTTCAGATCAACTAACTTACATAGGCAAAGTAATTTGCCCAACGCTGTCCTACTAGTAAACAGAAGAGGTAAGATTCAAAGCCAACCTGTCTGGGGCCCATCTGAGTTCTTGAAAATTCTATTAATCATATTCTTATTAATCACACTCTTATTAATCACAACATAACAATCTCTAGCGAGCAGCACTAGGAAGACCTTACTCTATTCCTTTCCATTAATAACAGACCTGATCATACACTTTTTAACAAAGAATATCCCAATTTGTAGTTTAAAAAAAAGGGTGACTAAATATGGCAGACTCTTCAATCTGTGACATCAGTTCTCCATTCCTCCAGAGGCTGAACAGGTAAAATTACAAATCAAATGTTCAAAGCTAAAATGGATATACTTGATATGATATTTAAAAGCAGTCTGAAAACTTTTCAAGGTATTTCTTTTAAAATGGAAATTAATATAAAAAATTAAGCGTTTCAGAAAATACATTCCTAACTTTAATAAAGACAAAAGAAGCCATTTCCAAGGAAACAAAAAGTAACTCTTAATATTCTAAGACTCCCCACAGCCTCAGATCTTAGTTTCAACCTTCCTGGCAAGCTCCCTGCTTCTTAGCCTTTCACGTGTCAGAATCATCTGTGGATTCCTTTCCAAATATACATACAGTAAACTAGGGCTGGAGAAGGATACATGTACATTAAGAAGCTGCATCTGTGGTTCTGATGTACAACAAAGTTTAAGAGTCTCTACTTCTGACAACAGAAATATGTGCCTTGGTAATTCTGGGAAAGTGGATTTATTCATTCATTTACAAATATTTTTGAGTCCCTATTATGTACCAGGCAGTTGCAGGGGCTGGGACATAGCAGTGAATAAAGTAGGAAAAAATAAAATGAAAAATTCTGCCTTTCTGGGCCTTATATCATAAGGAGTAGAAGGTAAACTTTGCTGTCATTACTCAGTTGTCACATAAAAAATGAGAGAAACACCTTATCCCCTGGACAGACTCCATCCTTTTCCTGCTTACAAGATGGCTGATGAAGATAAATTCTACAGTTCACTGATCACAATGCCATTCACCCACCTGCCAGACCTGCAATCCCAATTCCATAGCAGAGGAAGGAAATCCCTCAGGAAGTGCCTGTGGAGAAACTACCAGGCTCCAGAGGTCACTCCTCAGAACAAAGGATCATTTATGACTCCTCACATTGTCTAGATCAATGTCACTCAAAGTATGGTCTGCAGATCTGTAAGAGCAGCATCAACTGGAAACCTTCCAGAAATGCAAACTACGGGCCCTACCCCAATGGACTGATCAGCATCTCTGGAGGCAGAGCCAGGACTATGTCTTTTAACAAAGTCTCCAGGAGACTGTTATGAATGCTGAGGTTTGGTAACCACCAGGCAATTGCAGTACTTTGTAGGTAAAGGTCGCTCAAAAGCTGATGAACCAAATACCACATCAAAAAGTTACCAATTTATTTCTTGCATTTCCCAAACTACATTTGTACAATTTTAACTGTTTTAACTTATCAATCTTTTTTGTCCATGTAATTATAAAGCAGGAGGAGCAAATATTTATGATCCCTATTTTCTTCCTAATTTTTATCCCAATACCCCAGACCTGGCAGCTGCTCTATAAAAGTCCACAGAATGAATGAATAAATGAACAAGTGCAAAAAGATATAACACATTTACTAACCCAAATTTACTAACCCAAACTGAAGGCCTCCTTCCACCACACCACGCGTGCCATAATGTGATATGAGTTTATTACTCAAAAAGT